TGGACTGGGATCCCCAGTGTGGGTAAATATATTACCATCTACGTCCAACAGTCCAGTAACTTCATTTATTTTCGTTTCAAACAGGAACTAAGAACAAGTCTCAGTACAATAAATTATTCAATCCCACCCCTCCTGCTGAAGAAGGAAAAAGAGACTCCAAGAGTCAGGAAAAACCCTTCCTTTGGAAGGTCCCCTCTAGCATCCAAATGGAAGGAAAAACTTCCCTAGCGGGCTGGACAGACTCTCTGACCACTCAGGAGAGTGCCCCTCAGCACTCTGTCTCTTCCCTAAGAAAAACCTCTCTACCACTGTCTCCCATTACCCCACAAGAGGGAGCCCAGGCTGCACTTAGAGGAATTTAAGAACAGGAAATAGAAGTGGGTGGTCTCTTTCCAGATACAGGTCTTATGGCTCCAAAGAATGCCTGGGATTATTATCCCTTAATGGAGAAGAGTTGTCAAGCTAGAGAAACTCCCCAGCCAAAAGGAATATGAATCAGAACTAAAGGGACACTGGAGGTGAGAAGGAGGAGCAATACAGTGCATTTCATCTTAGTCCATTCGGGTATCTAAGGAGCAGAGAGAGTGGTGGCTCCCCCACCCTCAGGCCCTTCAACTATGTAGGAGAAGGCTGCACATCCCAAACTCTGCCTGACCCCCACCACCCTCAAAGCTGTTTCCAGGTAGATGCTTTGAGCTTCCAAGGACCAAGATTGACCCTGGATAGAAATCAAAGTATAGAGCTTAAAAGGTGCTCCCCCCACAGTCCCCTTCCCCAGCCCCAAGGTGAGGTTGACCCTCACTTACACACATTGACCCACTCTGTGACCCTGCACTCATCACATAGCACGTAACAGCACCAGTGGAAGCGGCAATGACAGCGCTCGACTCGTGTCTGCCGAAGCACGTTGTGCCCACGGCCACAGCACAGGCTGCCACAGCCATCCAACAGGCGGCTGGTCTTGTTGCAGGCCCGGCCCCTCGTGCCTGGGGAGCCCATGGTGGGGTCTCGCTCACAGAAGTCAGGAGACTTCTCAAAGTAGACCAGCTCTCCTGAGAGGCGACGGGGACGCAGGCGGGGTTGGAAGGCTCCAGAATTGCGGTTGTGGGTATCGATGAAGATGGCCCGGCCCAGCCGCTCCCTCAACGCCGCCCCCACTGCCCGGAACTCTGGGACCGCCCTCCAGCATGTCTTGAACTGGCAGCTGCCTGACGTGCCATGGCATTTGCATTTCCGCTTCAGGTTTTCAGTTACCACCTAGAGCACCAGAGAGAGAAGAGGTGAAGGGGAGGGCAGCAAATGGACAGGGCACAGAGGCAGCAGAAGAGGGAGGAGAACAGAGAATACAGGGACAAATGGAATATCAGAAGAAAAACGGCATTGCAAAGTTAATGAATAGCCCAAATCCCTCATTTTATGATTGGAAAACTGAAGCCAGAGCAGTGCAATTTGTCCGTATTTGATCACCAGCTTGTGACAGAGCCAGGATGCAACTCTAGTTATCCTGACTCCCAGTCCAGTGCTCTTTCCAGAGTAAGCACTTAGAAAACCGACAGTCTGACCCAAAGCATGCCTAAATTCTGTAGCGAAGGCAGCTGTAATAATAGCTACTATGTAATAAGCCAAGAACTAGGCACTATGCTGGGTGCACTATGTGCTAGCTTCTTAAGGACATTGTAAGGTAGGTATCATTAGCCTCTTTTTACAGAAGTAAAACTGAGTCTGGATGACTGGCTGATGGTGAGTGGCAGTCACCCACCACTTTATCCTATTATTCTCCTTTGCCTCTTACATTCTAGTCAGGCCTCAAAAGCTAGGGAGACCCAGGACAAGAGGTACACACACACACATACCTGGCGCCCCACCCTGTTGTTGTGGATTCGCATTCTTGCCTGGATGTCCCGGGGAGCTTCCCTGGAATCCAAGAAATCCCGAGAGAACTTCTCTCCAAAGTCCATGTCATGGTTACAGCCACCCCATTCCCATGTGTCCTGGGGGCCAGGGCTGGGGCCTGAGCCAGGGCCAGGGCTGGGCAAGGAGTGGGGGAAACTCTTGCCCCGGGACAGTGCCTGGAGCTGCAGCAGTTTGGCCCTCAGCCGATCCTGCTCACCACTGCCCTTCCAGCCGCAGCCGCAGCTCACCAGCTTGCCCAGGCTGCAGGCCGTGGCTACCGCGTGCATGACCCCAGCAGCCAGCATGGAGAAGGAAAAAGCACTCTCACGGAAACCTGGGGATGAGAAGGATGTGATGGTGGAGGTAAGGTTGACAGGCAGCCGAGAGCGGGGAGGAGGAAGGAGACAAACAGACCCCCTCCAGTTCCAGAAATTCCTAACTGAATCCTGACCCCACCATTTATCAGCTGACTGACCTGGGAGAAAGTCTTGGGACAAGGAAGAGAACAGAAAGCACAGAGCCTCAGTTTCTTCATCTATAAAGGGAGACAGTGGGTCAAGATGGTCTCTGAGGCCCATTCTCACTCTGTAAGTCTGTGATCTTCAGGTGTGGATCAAAGAGCTAGCCCAGAGGGAGAGATCCCCTGGGGTTGGAGATGGCTAAGAGGGAGTCCCTGAAGTCTTTGAAGATGTGTTCACCGAGTTCTACATCTGAAAGCCTTAGAAATTCCCCAACCCTGCAGGGAGCTTGGGTGAGGTGAGAGCAGAGGCCTTTGGGGTTCTTTCTCTTCTTCTTTTCCTCTTCAGGGTTATTTAAATCAGTCTAACCAACCCATTCTCCACCATCAACACCCCCAAAGCACTAGAGCTGTGGAGTTGCCTTTCCCCTTCCCAGGTCCTAGTTTTATATTTGCCCTTCAAGACTGCCCTTTATGTTTAGCCTAACCTGCTATTACCCTATAAAATACCAGAAGGAGGAGCGAGGCGGGGGTGATTTTCCCTAAGGCCCTCTTAAAAGGCTGGCTTCTTTGTTATGTTTTGGGGGTCACAGAGGCTCAGGATGTGCCGAGTCTTTTCCAGGTTTAGATAAATGTGTTCGCTATTTGGGGCCAAAGTCTTCCCTTACACCAGGTCCGTGGTGAAGGAGAGGGACCCTCACTTCATTTTAGGCAGGGGCTCTCTGGAGCCCTGAGAAGATGAAAAACAGCACATCCTTAGAGGCCAGGTCTCTCCTTCCCCAGGATCCCGGCTCCTGGGCCAGCCTCCTGATCCCCCCAACCCCAACCCTCCAGGGTGAAGCTGTTTGCACATGTCTTGGGAATTCCCCCGCACATGGCAGCTGCCTATTAACCCCATAGTCCCCTGAAGCACAGTCTCCCCCCACCCCCCCTGCCCCAGGCTGAGCCCCCATGGATCTTTGCTCCTCAGGGAGTGAACTCCAGCAGGCTATGGGGAGTAGTAGCGATGCTTCCCAGACCAGGCCTCTCAGACCAGGCTGGCAGTGACCTGTTCTCCGCCCTTCCAGTCGGTCTTCACCTGCTCAGGTGAGCGACAGCTGGGGCCCCCACAGCACAGAGGAGGGGGCTGCTCCCCAGCTTCAAAGTCATCAGGGTCTTTGTTCCCAGCTTTGTCTCCTGGGAACCCCAGCAATTAGGGGAGCATGTTTAACCCTTAAACGGTTGGGGGCGTCACCCCACCCCCGCTGAGACTCTGGGGACACCAGCCTGGGCTTGTCCAGCCAAGACAGAGGGGAGAGAAAAATAGGGGAGGGAATGGGGGGCGTTTGAAACTTTCAGGGCTGGGGGCATCTCTTGTTCACAGGTGCAGCCCAGATCAAGCTGGGCGGAGGCGAAAAAGGGGGGCCCTAGGGTAGGGGAGCAGGGACCCAGCTGCCTTGCCGGCAGCACGCAGGTGGAAGTGAGGCGCGCAGGGGCCCAGACGGGTGGCCAGACTAGGCTCAGCGCAGCTCCGGGGGGCGGGGGGGAATTCCCGGAGAGGCCCCTCCCGGAGCCGCGAATCCGTCCCGTCCCGCCTCCGCGCGTCTCGGCCTGCCCCTAACCCCCCAGCCTCGAGGGCGGCGCGGACCCGCCCAGTCAGGCTCACCGCGCTTGAGGATGGCGCTGTGGTGCGGCAGGCGGCCGCCGCCTTCGAGCGCAGAGCAGTTCCAGCGCTGGTCGCGCAGCTGGTGCTGACACTCGTGGACCGCGATGTGCAGCCCCTGCAGCGCGGACGCCGTCACGTCGGGGCTGCGCAGGCACAGGCCCAGCTGCCGCTTGCTGAGGCCAGATAGCGTCAAGCACACGGTGTTGGCCGTCAGCGGAGGTTCTCCCGGCACCTTCAGGCCCAGAATCTCATTGCTTAGAGCCCTGGGAACCGAGAAGGCGTCTCGGGATCTGCGCTCCAGGCTTCCCGACCCCTCCAACCACCCCATCCGGGGTCAGTGCTTGTCTCATGGCCTGGGAGATAGGGGCAATTGCTCACCGACTGCACAGCGCCAGGAACAGGAGACCCGTGAGGCCCGAGGGCAGAGGCCGCAGCTGGGGCTCCTCCAGCATGTCGAAGCCCGGAGGCTCCGGTAGGCAGATCAATCAGGACCTGCGGGACAGGGAATAGGGTGGCTCACCTGGGCAACTGAAGGATGCCCTGCTTCAGGCTTTTAACCCACCGGTGCCACCTTCACTGGCCCTTCTACTCTCTCCCCAAACAGAACAATAAGAATCACCCCTTGATTCCCCGAGTCCAGGAGGTCTCAAAGAGGAAGGATCCAGGCCTCCCAGTTCAGGACTCTGCCCAGTAGACACAATGCCGGGCACACAGACACACACTTACATGCAAACTCAGACACACCAACTCACAAACACTCGCTCCACGACCTCACCCACCGCTCCCTCTTCAAGGGCCCCACGACTAGCTTCCCCGCCCTCACGGGTCTAGGGGGCGGGACAGGGAGGGGGTTCCCCACCACCTACGGGGTGTTGCCTCCAGGTGCTGTCAAGGGCAGGCAGACTCCACAAGAACCATCTGAGTATGGGCTCCCCACCCCACTCTGCCCACTCCGGCCAGCAGGGCAAGAGGAGAGGCTCCAGGTGTGGAAAAGATGGGACATGAACCTGGATCCCTCCTGAAACGGACCGTGGTGCAGGCTGAGTCCCCTTCCCTGTCCCCTAACTACAGGCTTCCCTCCCCAGCACGAACCCATCTGGTCTCCACCCCTTGGCTCTCACGTTCATTACCCTCCAAATCTGGGGGCACTCCTTTATTCTCTATGCCTTTATCTCTAGCAATATCTCTGGCTCTCTCTCCGTCTCTGTGCTCCTGCGGGTGGATGCGTGTCTGTCTGTCTGACTACCCACGTGCCTGTCTCTCCCCGTGCTTCTCTGCCCTCCCTGCTTTCCCGGGTCTGATTACCTCCAGTGGTTCGGGTGCCGGGTCCGTGACTGACACAGTTGGGTCGCCTGGGCTCGGGTCAGGCTGCTTAAACCGTGGGGAGACTGCGTCGGGTTCTGCCCCCTCGGCAAAGCCGCATTCTTCCAGGGCCGGGCCACTCCTCTTCGCTGCTTCCCCAGCGCTGCCGCCGCGGCCGCTGGGAGGAAGGGAGGGAGGAAAGGAGGGAGTGATTGGGAGAGCTAGCGAGCTGGTGAGCAGGGAACTGGGTCTCCCGCTTTGCTCGCGCCGAGCTCGCGGTGGCTCTGCCGGGCTGACGGAGCTGCGGCCCCTCCCCGAGCCGGCGGCATCCCCACCCTACCCCGCACCCCCCGTCTTGACCAGGGGAACAGCCGCTCCCCCTCCTCCCGGCTACACACACACCCTCTCCCCCGACGCCTGGGTTCAGTCTTGGCCCCACTGAAGGGGGAGGTGGCCAGAGTTTCTCTCACCTGCTCTGGATTGCCAAGACTGCAGGGAGGGTGCAGTGACCCAGACTGGGGAGCCAGGAGTGGGCCCAAGTGGCCAAATCTTTCATCGTTTCTCTTTGTCTCAGTTTCTCCACCGAGAGTGGGGTGGCTGGAAGGCGCCTTTCACAAGATGAGGATAAAACCGAACAGTCTTCAGGCTTCTCGGGTGTGGGACAGTCGCACATAGTGGCCACAGCATGAGTGTACACAGGGCATTCAGAGTGGGCAGGAAAGGCGCAGGTCTGGGTGGCTTGGCTCCCGCCCATCTCCAAGCCCTGTGCCTGCCTCTTGGGAGGGGTCAGCTTTAGCCTCAGACTTTGGCCTTCGTAATGGCTCGCTCTGCTAGCCCCAAAGGTCTTCAGCCTGCTCCATGCAACCCTTGCCTTGCAGTCATCCTCACCCACAAAAGTCTCCTATCCTTTTCTGGATTCCTGGGTCTGCACTTCGGGTGGGCCAGATTCCTGCTCCAGGCTGAACTTGCTTCATATGGGCTGAGGAGGGCCTCAGGATCCCAAACTGAGCATAGCCCCAAGGTAGCCCGGGG